CAGTGATTAGATGCAAAAGTGACTTACTTTCAACAATTCATAGGTACCTTACTCTAGCTATTTCCCGGACCCTTGATGAAGAATTTTCCGGTTTTCTTATCAAACGAATGGAAAGAACAAAAGAAATCACCGGCACGACTCACCAAGGTAGTTATCGTGGAACTAGAGGGTTCCTTCGATGCCACCAGAAGCGCTTTAGGGTATAAACCCGAAGCGGCCCACTCAGGTCTCTTTTTAGCAAAAGTCTTGGGACCCATACGATGGACGTATTCCTTCTTTCCTGCATTCGCTTGATTTTGCTCTCGAAGTTCCTACAAAACAAAAAATGTTAGTCTCATTAATACAAAAAGTGTCAAGCTATTATTCAATTGACATCAGATTTACACAAACTTACAATGGCTTTCTTTTGACTCTTCATTCTAACGAACTCTTCCCAATCATCTTTTGACACGGTCGGCCATATTTGCCACGGGAGACGGTTATCCTCTTTGGCATTCTTCTTCTTTGTTTGCACCTTCTTCTTCTTATGGATCCACCGATTAGTCAACTTGGTCTTAAAGCCTCTAAATCTTTCCCCTAATAAAGAGACAAACACCCTTTTCTTCTCGGGATCATTAGGAATAGAAAACTGCCTCTGCAAGCACAAATTAAAACTGATTATTAGTTTCTATTTAAAAACAATCATAAGGTTAAGGTATCTTAAATTGTCTAAATGTGCCAAAAACACACTTACCCTTGTGTCATCCCAAAATGCTTGAATCAAACCCGGAGGTACTTGCCGCATTACAAGTGTAATGGGGATTTTCCACGAACATAAGCCAACTTGATTAGCATATTGTCGACGCCATTTGGGCCCGGGTTGGCCTTTGTTGTCATACTCCAAGACCATGGGACCGCCCGGTTCGTCGGACCCCTTGTTTTTCTTTCAGCCGGTGCCTTTTCCCCCCCTTCACCACCTGTGTTGTTTTCATCTTGTCCTTGGCCTTGACTTTCAGGAGTCGGGTTCTCACCAACAATCTCACGTGCTGTATTTTCAATGGCCGGTGCACATTCAGCTATCATTTCAAAATCGTCAAGCCTACGCTCGAACTCATCTTGAGCCTGATCCTCTGGCTCACCCAAGTCATCCTCCTTATTCACAACATAAGGAGTATCACTATCATCGGAGTCATCATCCTCGTACTCGTCCTCATACTCATCATCGTCAATGTCCTCTACCAAACGAGGATCATGATCGTCCGCCATGAGATATAAGCACCTGTCAAAGCAATCATAAAACAATATTAGTGTATAGTAAAGTATATGCATGATAGTTATTATGGTTATGTAGAAGCTATTTTAGCCATTTTCACCTACTTATTATGGTCCTATAACCTTGTATATGCATGATAATGAGTACAAAATGCCAATTTCAATCTACATATGGAAAATAGGTTGTTAGAATGAATAAATGTTAGTTCATACACAAAACAAAAGAGTTGGGTTAAGTAGAAGCTATTTATGCCAGTTTCACCTACTTATGGTCCTATAACCTTGTATATGCATGATAATGAGTACACTTAGGCAATTTCAAACTACAAATATATCATTTTCGCCTACTTATGCTCCTATATACATGATAACTAAACTATATTTGCAATGAAACCATTACTAACTTTTAATCAAACTACCTCATTCTGAAATTCCTTCGTTGTGGTCTGATCGCATATAACCTGCTTCGTTGTCTATGTCATTTAGTACTCCAGGTCTAGGAACAGTGAAAGGTGCTGAATCATCAAACGCATCATATTCTTCCTCATCCTCAGCATCTCCAATGCCTAGGATTCTTCTTTTGCCAGCTAGCACTATAGACCATTTTGAATCCATTGGGTCAGTTACGTAGAACACTTGCTTAGCTTGAGATGCAAGGATAAATGGTTCCGCACTATCATTCAAGTGGCCAAGATCTACAAGAGTAAAGTCCTCGTGTTTGACGTTTCGCCTAATATTATCAACCCACTTACACTTGAAAAGAGCAACCGTGAAGTCACAATAATCAAGCTCCCATATTTCTTAAATTCGACCATAGTATGACAACTCTGCATCGACAGGTGATTTATCCTTAGAACTTGCAAACTCCCTTGACGATGCCACAAGAGTTACACCACTTTTTGGGTGGAGGAAGATTTCAAATCACGAGTCTCGGTCCAAAAAGTGTACCCATTGATGTCATATCCCTCAAATGAACGGACATCATCCCTAGGAGACTCGGTGGTGACCCTCAGGCCGGTGGCGCGGCTCGGTGGTGGAGGAGCCTCAAGGGGGTGGCGCAGCTAGGTGGTGGAGGAGAAAAATAGGGCAGCAGCTAAGTTCATAATGGAGGAGGCGCAGCATCACTCACGACAAATGGAGGAGGACACTCAGGCTGGTGGCGCGGCTCGGTGTTGGAGGAGCCTCAGGGGGGTGGCGCGGCTAGGTGGTGGAGCAACCTCAGGGCGCGGCTAGGTGGTTTATTTTCGAAAGAGAAAGAAAGGGAAAATAGAGAGAGGAAGGATTGAACTAGGCCGGTTTACGAAACCCCTGGTGGCCGCCGGTGAAGGTGACGGCTGGTGGTGGAGGGAGAGAGAGGAAGGATTGAAGGATGAGCAGCAATGAAACAGTAATTAAGGAGGGAATTGAAGAAGGAATGAAAGAGAAAGAGAAGAAAGAGAGGAAGGCGAGTCCGCGTTTTTTTTTTTAAAATGGGTCCGGTTCAATTGGCACCGGTTCAAACCGGTGCCATTTTAATTTTAGGCACCGGTTCAGGCCAAACCGGTGCCTTTCCTCTTCTTCTAAAATCCCGCCCATTTCTGGACCGGTTTTGGGCACCGGTTTAGCCTGAACCGGTGCCATATGGGGGGTGCCTAATGCTTTTTTTCTACTAGTGGTCAAAGGTTACTACGTCCGGTCAGGGGTTACCAAGTGGGTCAGGGGTTACTAGGTTGGTGGGGTTACTGAGTTGATAAGGTTACTTTGTCATTTGCTGATTAGGCACCATGCCACATGGTGCAGCCGCAGCAGAAACGCGTTGCAGTTAATATATAATTATTAACAAAGTAAAGTGATAAAAGCATTCTTAAAACCATGGATGTTTTTACTAGCTTCACGTTTCACAAAATTTTGTTTTTTTTCTTCTTTTTTTTAAATATAAAAAAAAATATCATCATAAAATAATTGAATTTGGTAATTAAACTAAGTTGTTATACAAATATTTTAATATTTTAGATAATTATCAATACTACAAATAGTTGTAAATCATAATTTATATTAGGTATTATCTTTAAAATTCAAGAAAGTGCTAATATAATAGCATACATATCCAATAAAATATGGACCAACCTATAAAAGATAATTATACCTATATTTTAAATTTAGATATTCGAAAATGATTAATTATTCAAATGATAAAATACTTATATTTGGCGCCAAAATTTAAAATTCATTTTGGCTCCAAATTAAATAATTTAAGAACTTTCAAAAATATTTATTTAAAATTCGGGGTATTATAGGCCACGTTAATAACAGGTCAAGTTACATTCGGGTTGGGTGAATAATACATCAGGTATAATTCGAGTTTTCATAGGTTAAAACGAGTTAGGGTCAGTTTTGGATTCGAGTAAGGTTTGATTCAAGTCAATAATTTTCAAGTTATAATTAGGTCGGGTTATTCTCGAGTTCGGTTCAAGTCAATATTTTGAGGGTTTTAATCAGATCATTTCCAAGTCGGGTCATTCTCGAAGTCAAGTCTGGTTCGGTTCAAATCAATAATTTGCGGGTTAAAAATCAGGTTGGGAAATTTTCAAGTCGGGTCATGTTCGGGTTCGGGTCTCAAATATTGGGTTAGTCTGGGTTTCGGGTTGGTTTCAGGTCGGGTCATATCGAGTTCGGGTATATTTTTTGGGTCGGTTTGTTAACATTTCATGTAACGATGTCACATTAATCATTATCAATTTATTCATTTATTGTAAGAGAAATAATTTCAGATAAGTTTAAATTTGAGCTAATTAGTTCTAATAAGTTTACATAAGATATGCATAATAAGTAACAACATCACTAGATAACTATGCTTTGATCAATATTAATAAGGTGGTCTAAACTGAATTTAAGGTGATTTGAAATAGAGTTAGGTCAATAACAGATTAAGGTTGAGTTCGAAATGGGTCTGGAACAATTCGGGTTGAATTCGAGTCAGTTCAATAACAAGTTGTGTTGAGTTCGGATCGTGTTAGTAATAGATCAGGGTAATTTCGAGTCGGGTTAGTAATAAGCTAAGTCAGGTAAAATTCGGGTCAGGTTAGTAATATGTTGGGTTGAATTCGGATTGGTTTAATAACAGGTCGGGTTAAATTAGGATCGGGTTAGTAACATGTTGGGTTAAATTCGGGTTTTAACGGAATAAATGAGTTTGGTTCAATCTCGGTTCAGGTCGGGTTCAGTTCAGGTCAATAATTTACAGGTTATATTCAGGTCAGGTCATATTAAGGTCGGTTCATGTGTTGGGTTCGAGTCACAAATACTTGGGTTAACTCAGGTCTAGGTATTGTTTCAGGTCGGGTCATATTGGGTTCGGGTCACCATTTTTCCAGGGTGATCAGGTCGGTTAATAATCGGATTCGGGTCGGTATTTCGGATCGGGTTAGCTTTTGACAGGTCTAATAACATTACTTTGTCATATATGGAAAAGTATTGAATTGTCATATTAGCTTGTCATAAAGTCATATATGGAAAAAAAAGTTTATAAGAGTACAAATTAATATTCAATTTTAGACCACTTTTAAAATTCCAAGTCAGAAGTTTGCTCTTCTGCTAATATGCTATAGTTTCCTAACCGTTAATGTCATCTTCACCTACCTACATAATGAATTGTGTTCACATAATAGCATGTTAGTATGTGTTAGTGCGTCTGAAATATGATAGTGACTTACCGAAAATGATATAACGACAGCCAATTCATAAGATATATTAATGAGTAAAATGTGTAACAAAATTTCAGCAGCACTAATTTTCACAACCAAAATCTCATCAAATTTGGCCAGAAAAGTGATTCAGCTAGCTGTGAATGGTGTTACACAGCCCCATCAAGCTCTCAGCTGAGGCCACGACGGTCTTTGCTTTCGTGTTATTCGTCTACTGTCTACTAAGATGGAAAACTAACCGTGATACCACCATAAAAAGCCCACCCCAACCATCTGGTTCATGGCCTTTAATAGGCCATTTACCTCTTCTAGGAAGAAGCCTTCCTCACATTTCTTTGGGAAATTTAGCAGACAAATACGGTCCGATTTTCATGATCAAGCTTGGTGTCCACCGAGCCTTGGTTGTGAGCTCAGCCGAGATGGCTAAAGAGTGCCTAGGCACCAATGACAAAGTATTCGCAAACCGGCCTTACACAACTTTTATTGAGCATTTGGGTTACAATTCTCTTATGATGGGTTTCAGCCCTTATGGCCGTTACTGGCGTGAGATGCGTAAGATTGTTGTGACTGAGCTACTGTCCAATAATCGGTTAGAGATGTTAAAACATGTTCGATTATCCGAGGTAAAATCGGTCATAAAAGCTACACATGATAGCATCTTAGTCAAGAGTAAATCAAGTCCTGATGACTTTGAAAATAATGTAGTATTATTGGACATGAAACAGTGGTTTAGTGACATAAACTTAAATGCATCGGTAAGATTGATAGCTGGGAAGTCGTTAAAGGAATTCTATCAAGGCGAGGAAAATTGTAACAAGTGCATAAAAGCTTTGAGGGAGTTTTTCGACTTGGGAGGCGTCTTTGTTCCTGCTGATGCTGTTCCTTATTTGAGGTGGCTTGATATTGGAGGGTATGAAAAAGCTATGAAGAAAATTGCAAAGGAAATCGATCATGTAGCTCAAGGTTGGTTGGATGAGCATAGAACAAGACGACTTTCTGAAGATCAGGGGAAAGAAAAACAGGACTTTATTGATGTAATGCTTGGTATATATGACACTGGATTGAATAACTCTTCGCGTCTTGAAGCAGATAGAATCATCAAGGCCAATAGCATGGTAAGCACTTGGCCTTAACACTAACAGACTTATAATTAGACATGATATTTTCTTGTTTTACAACAAAGTCCAAGCATTGTTATAAGCGAAAACAGAATAGGCTGGTTGCATCCTTGAAATGAATTTTATTGTCATATTCATATTACTGATTTCATCAAATTGTTACTTCTTACACCACTTTAGTGTCAATAATCATAAAATAACAATTGTGCTCAATTTTTTTATAGGCTTTGCTACTAGCAGGAACAGACACCACCGCGGTAACCTTAACATGGACGCTATCTTTGCTATTGAACAACAGAGAATCTCTGAAAAAAGTTCAAGCTGAAATCGATTATCATGTGGGCAAAGAAAGGCAAGTCGATGAATCAGACCTCAAGAAATTAGTCTACTTACAAGCTGTTCTCAAGGAATCGATGAGGATATATCCAGCTGCACCACTATTAACTCGAGAGGCCATTGCAGACTGTACTGTGGGTGGCTATCAGATTCTTACCGGCACCCAACTCTTTGTTAATATGTACAAGATACAAAGGGACCCTGAATTGTGGCCTGACCCTTTGGATTTTCGGCCCGAAAGATTTCTTACTACTCACATGGATTATGATGTCAGAGGGCAAAATTTTGACCTTATTCCATTTGGAAGTGGCAGAAGGATATGTCCTGGTATATCTTTCGCCTTGCAGATGACTCAGGTTACATTAGCTAGTTTAATCCATGGTTTCGATGTCTCAACTCTATCTGATGAACCTGTTGACATGACTGAGAGTTTAGGAATAACCAACCTCAAAGCCACACCACTTGAAGTCTGCCTCAAACCTCGTCTTCCAGACCATGTTTATAAATTATAATTATCCTAAGCTAGTAGGATTGTTACCTACAATATCACTTCACCATTTAAGTCGTACTGCTTAATAATGTTGCTATTCGCTTTAAATAATAAAAACTACTATGTTAATGTTAGGGTCGTTATATTTAACATAACGTCATACTTCAAATTCGCAATGATATTAAAGATCATACAAGTTTTAATTTAGGTTACTATGTTAAATATAAGGTTATCATGTTAAAATGGGTCATTATATTCTATATAACGCTAATTGCGTGTGTATAAACTTCGAATTCACAATAATAATACTAGATTAAGTCTCGTATCACGCACAGTTTTTTCAAAATTTTATAACGAATTATAATGTTAATTCAAAATCTACCAAAAAATAATCCTCATATTTTTAAATGAATTGGAAACAGTTTGAATCTTAATTTATATCCAAAATTGAATTTTGTCTTAAAAAGTAAAAAAGTAAAAAATATAAAATAATATTATATAAAATAAAAGATATGGAGTGTATGTGAATATTTTATTAGGAATTGAATATTACAATTATATGGTTTGGTGAATATTTTATTAAGGAAGTGAATCACAATTACATAAAAAGTGATTTTTTATTTAAATAGAATACAAAGTGAACTATATTGTTTAAATTTACTAGTAGCTTAGTGGTTGGAAAATTAACTTATCTATCAAAGGTCAAGGGTTATAATCCCTTACCCAACATTTATTATTCTTTTTTTTTTTTGGTAACACCATACTTGTAAGTTTACCAGAGATAATAAGTTTTTTTGTAATTTAGCTCTAAGAAAACTTAAAAGTATGGTGTTACCAAAGAGAATTTCCTCTTTTTTTCGCATAATTTTTTTTTTTTTAATTTCTTTACTTTTTGCTTAATGTCCTATTGCGGTACGAAAATGTGTCTTTTTAAAAAAAAAAAAATATTAAGACCTTGGTATAAGTGTTCTGGTGCCCTACCATTATTAAAATTCTGGCTCCGTCACTGACTAGAATAATTTGATTTACATTAACATGATGTAGTTTATGATAATTAATTTTTCCAAGTTTAATATGAGAGTGTATCATATAATAAGTAGATTATTTTATTTTTTCATGATTTCGTTGTTGACTGAATCATTAAAATAAACTAAATTCCACATTTCATCCAAAACCTTGAAAAGGGTCGAGTGCGCGACGCAAGTCATGCAACAAAATGACAAAAAATATTACTCGCTTATAGCCTTAAACCTTAAGTTTCAACTGACCAAAGACCGTGTATAAAAGTCACACATAGTTGATTGCGGCAAACAATTTCTACAAGACTTGAAGTCTACAAAGTTTACTACTCTTGCTCATATAATCTTGTGTTACCAAAACCCGATTGGAATCAATCAAATCTAAGATTGACTTGAATTGAACATGTATTATTGAAAAGAACTAACTTAAGCCCAAAACCAAAAGCAATCCAGATTCACCCAAATTTGAAGTGATCCAAATATATCCAATAATACTAAAGGTGATCATTTACATGCCTAGACGGATAGCGGGCCAGACTTATGCTTATTTTTTTTTCCAACGGACTTTATGTAGGCAATGTAGCAATCCAAAAAAACACATACACTAAACCAAGTTACCAACATTACTCAAATCCAATGTTCACCAACTCATCCATGACCAATTACAACTCAAAACATACACATACAATCACACACCTCCATTCTTTAACAAGTACATCTATATCCCCTTGACATATTTGAAGAAGGTGATAGGTAGAGGTAAACAATCAAATTAACAAATATAATTAGAACACTAGCTATCCTAGTATTGTTAGAAAGATGTATGTTATTGGTGTTTAAGTTATTTTTGTTGATTTGTCTGTTTATTTTTTCTAATCTCTTTAATGTGTTCTGCAATGACATACATGTATTAAAAACATAAGGAAATAATAAATTTGACATCTCTAGGTATACCATATAGATATGTGTGCGTTTGGTTTAAATAATGGTATGAGATTAAATTTAGGAATGAAATTAAGTTGGTATAGCTCCAAGTTAGAACTGTACTGGATTCTTCATATCTTGTGTTTGGTTGTTCTTTAGAAGAAAAAAAAATGATCTCTTGTTTGAGACCTATATATAGGCTTGTTAGAACTTGATTCTCCATATTATAGACCCGATGAAGTAATTTTAACTTCAACAACGTAAAATGCAAAGGTTCATAAAATTAAGTTTCACTAATTAAGATATTTCTTAGAAAACGAGCACTATTTGTATAAAGCTATCACGACATCCCATGAAACAAAAAATCCATTCACACAAACAAAAACATAACAACCTGATAAACACACCCACAGAAAAAATGGCCTTAGAACATTGGCAAAGTGACCAAAACTCACATACAACAAGAAATGATCAGAGTGAGTGAAGGATAGCTTAAGTGGTTAGAGCTCCCCTCTCGGTTCCAAATGATTCTGGGATCGATTCTCAACACCCGCCCTTGTGGCTATTTAAACACCAAAAAAAACAAGATATGATCTGAGTACGTACATTGTAGCTTAGCTAGCTAGTTCGCCGCTTAATTTTTGTACAAATTTTCGTAAATTATATAGGATAAGAAGCATAAGAAGTGATACCACATTTGTTCTGACCTCGAATAATCCTCATATAACCATTTTCACCCCAACTTTCACCCCACGAATTCTTCAACACCCAATAATCAGTCCCATTTGTATCAGTCCCGTACCCGACCACAGTAACAGCATGATTAATGTTATCGCGGCCACAATCCCCATTATAGATACTATTGCTGTAGTGTCTGAAGTCAATCCCATGAATATCAATACAAACCGCGACAGGCTGTTGTGAAACTGCTTTCATCAGGGCGGACTCATCGTTAGGAACTCTTTGAAACCCGTCTATTGTCACTGCATTGCTTCCAAGAGTACGAGCCTGACACTGCGACTGAGTGTCCTGATATGGGTACTCGGCTTCTGTTGATATTCCTTTGTTTTGTTGGATAAATGTGAATGATTTTGTCATCTCTCCGCCACCACATCCGTAATCTTTAACACAATCGAGAAGTTCTTGCTCTGATAGTGAGATTAGTTGTCCTGTTTTTATTTTGTTTAAACCTTCTACTGCCGCGACTGCTGAGAATGCCCAACAGCTTCCTGAAAATTTAAATAATATGAATAATAAAAAAAAAAAAAACAATGTAATAGAATAATAGTAAGTAATCGATCAATATTAACTACATTTGCTTAAGATAAGAGGGATTCTCTAATCTTCCCTGTACTCTCAGGCATTGACTAGTGGAGTTGGACTGGTTTAACTTGTGAGAGGTGCAGGTTCAGTTTGGTCATTCATTTAAAAATAAATAAATAAATAAATAAAATGATGTGTTCATACCGCATAACCCTTGGTCCTTAACCCCCATGACAGCTCCGTGTTCTCTCCAATCTATTGAAGGTAGGATATCATCATCCGTAAGATTTTCATGCCTAAACTGGGTTGTCCTTGTGGACATTGATTCCGAAATAAATTGTTTTTTAATCCCGGTGTGAGTAGCTATTAGCTCCTCTGTAGTTAGATCCGTGAAGGCGTTTGTACCTAATGTGTACAATTTATTTGATGCATTAGCATTGAAATTATCTATGTATTCAACATTAGTTTTGAATATGTTGAAACGCTTCTCCTTTTCGATCTCATCCTTGTAGACACGTCCATATTGAGTCATCCAACGCTCGTGCCTCTCTTTTAGTGACAAGCTGGCCTTGTGATCGTCGAGAGGATGTGCCAAGGGTTGGGTCGCCCAAAGCCCTAACACTAGGACTAAGGAAAAACATAAGAGGAGTTGGAAATGTTGGTTTGTGAAAGCCATAAAGAGATTAAAGACTAAGATAGCAAGGGTATATAGTATATGTTTCGGTTGAAAACAATGGGACCTTGCCGAAGGTCCACTAAAATGGAGAAGACTGGATTCGATCCAAGCTGTGTTGGGCCGAAGGTTTCCTGCACAGTGAACACACGTAAACTAGCCTCGGGGGTGTTTCCGAGGAAGGCCCCTCCGATGCTAAAGTCAGTACAATGTGTAAAAAGGAAGACACTATGCAAGAGAGTTTGTAGCTTGAGGCTTTTGTGGAGTATTTCTCAATGCAAGAATGAGCATATGAGTTGGAATAATCCGTGTATGAGATAATGTATGTGATGATGCATGTGTTGTTGTGTCTCGTATGTGATGTTATGAGATGTCTTATGTAAGAATATGACTCTCTCCTTGAATGTGTTAATATGAGGGCTTTTATACCTCATCATATTTGGAGAGGTTGGGCTTTAGCCCAATTGGCTTACTTTGTGGGCTGACTTTTGACTTTTGAGCAATTGGAGAGTTGAACCTTGACCTTGGGCTTTTAATTGGATCATTTAGTGCTCAGGCCCAATTTTGACTAAATTGGACCCAAACAACTTGCCCCCCAGACCCGATTCGGAAGAATGACGGGTCGGGTTTGATTTAACTCAGAAAAGGAGGGAAGTAAATGATTTAATTGATCCAAAAATTTGAATTTAAACCGTAATTAATGAGATAACAACGGTTAATGATTTGCGGAAGTTGGACGGATAATGGGCGGTTTAATCACAAGACATGTGTTTAATGGTTACTTAGTGGGTACTTAAGAGAAATTAAAGCACAGACTCTTCGTATCCCGTACCTGGAGATATAAACAGAGGCGCGTCATTCTCCTCACTGATTCACCAACACAAACCCAGAATTCTTCGAGAGAGAATCCAAGAATCCGTATCAAAACTTCGCAAATTCCCCCGAGCATTGAGCTTAGAAGCTGAGACTTGCCACTACGAACTCGTAAATCGGCAACTTTCGCTTCAGATTAGGTAAATTCCTTTGATTTCAGTTTATTTTTCTTCGAATTCGAACTCCTTCCCCTCTTCTTTCGACTTTTCTCTTCGAAATAGTCCATGGCAAGAGGAGTTAGAGGTAGAGCCCGTGCTCCAAGAAGAGCAAGGCCGATTCCCGATCCTAGGAATAGGATTGGGACCTGGAATGGTCGAAGGCCGGAGTCTGACCCTGCTGATGGGATTAGGGCGACTCCCCTTTCCTCGGCTCCTCCTCAAAGAACGGATGAGCCGAGTGCTTCTGGACGGGACGATGAAATTCCCGCTGTCCTTTGGGATATCCTCCCTGGGTTTTCAGAGTGGGAGAATGCCGAAGTCGCTTCGGCCATGATAAAGAACCGCCCCTACTCATGGTGGGTAGAGAACGCCGATCAATATCGATTTGCCGAGCAAATTGAGTTGCACTACGGCATTTTTGAAGCTGATGGATATTGGTGCCGAATGCCCTCAGCATCCGATAGAATCCATCGTCCACCCCCGGGGTATGTGGGGGTGTACACGAGACAGCTTCAGTATGGGCTGAGGTTCCCTTTGGACGTTTTCGTCCGAGACTTGCTGATCCATTACAACATTTCCCTATGTCAGCTAACCCCCACCAGCATCCGAAGGGTGATGACATACTTATGGGTCTGCAAGTTCTTCAGATACGTGCCGAACCTGCACTGCTTCAGAAAGCTCCATCGGCTAGTGCCAAATATTCAGAGTGGGCACGGAAGCCATGGTTCTGGGTGGTATCGGATTGAGTCCCGGCCCCAATATTTGACCATGTGGCCAAATGACTCTTCAGACAAGGACTGGAGAGGTCAATGGATTTGGGTTAGGGCACCCATAGATCCGGGCCACCCTTGTGTCTTCAGCGCTCCCCGGTACTTAGCTGAGCCTGATCCCGAAATGGGAAGTCTAGGTCCCCCCGCAGATAACGGGGCGGATCCGAACCTGGATCAGCAACATATCTTCGGCAAGCTGCCGAACCCGGGGGGGAGTGGTCGAATGCAGCATATCCCGGAGACTTGGCTCCCCGATACGCATTACGTTTTCCAAGAGAATATGCTAGCAGCTGTTGGCCTCAGCCGAAAGTTTAAGGATGGTAAGCTTCTTCGGCTGGGGCCGAGGCTTTTTAACTACCTCTTTTTCTTCTCTCGCTTTGCTTTTTTATGCTGTGCCAACATATCTGAGCTAAACTTTTTCCCTTTCCTTTTTTCAGAGCGGGACGAGACCAACGTTGGTATTAACTACGCTCGTCTTGGTGTTAACCGAGAGCGAGTTGTAACTGAACGGGCCCCGTCTATCACTGAGCCGAGGCATAGGGAAGTTCATCTGGACTCTTCCCACTTCCAAATTGAGGCTGTTGCTCTGTATCAGAGGCAGAAGCCTTGGTGGAAGAAGAGAGACCCTTGGTTTCAGCTGCTGAACGAGGAAGCTGAAGCTGCCCGCACAGCCGAAGAGGTTGCACGAGTACTTGAGGCTTGTGAAGGAGGAGAAGGGTCCTCCAGAGCTGCTGAAGCCGAAGCTGCAGCTAGAGCAGCTGAAGAAGACGAGGCTTTGCTGAAAACCTCGGTGAGCTTTCAGACAACTTTTTTCTTTTCTTCTTCTTTTTTTTTTTTTTTTTTTTTTACTCACACTCTTCTTCCCCCCTGTCTGTTACAGTCTGAAGAGAGTAACAGACACAGAGAAGGCAAAGCTCCTGTTCGTCCCGAAGATCAAATACAAGAGTCTTCAGACTCAGATATGGACGAGCAGCCCCTTCTGAAAAGGCGCCGAAGGATGGCCATCATCGGCCCTCATGACTTTCAGCAGAGGCCGATGACCATCGGCGTCGCAATAAGGGAACCTGAGGAAGGCAATGGATCGCCGAGGGTTCCCCAGCCAACACCCCAATCTCCTCAAAAGACCCCTCCGCCACCTCCTGAGATGGAGGTGGATCAGAGAACTCCCGAACCTAAGGGAGGGGTCCAAGAAGAAATCAAGGAGAGTGCTGCTGAGCACGAAAATAAAGATGCCGTGATGTCAAGTGCTGAAGGCTTCACGGTAGATATCGCAAGAGAGGTTGAGGCTTTCGTCCTCACCCCTGAAGAAGAGGAGGTCATAGTACTTGACTCCTCTGAGAAGGACGATGCTGAGACAACCAAAGCTAATCAAGCTCCATCGTCGTCCTTCCCTTCTTTCCAGACTCTGCATTCTGGAGAAATGGGTTTCTCGGCCCCCCGAATTCCAATCCCAGATCACATCTGGGACCTCATATGGGGTCAAAACCGAGAAGGAGCTGCAGCCTACTTCGGCAATTTTGCTGGCATGTCCGAAGTAGACAGGGCAAGGATCTGGTCGCTGAAGGCCACTGCTGGGATGGGCGAATCCAGTAGATCAGTTCCTGACCCAGCCAGGTCTAACCAACTGCTGATGATGCAGGTAATTTTCCTTCATTTCCTCCGAAATTCAGCTCTATTTTTTTTCTTATTACTTATTTTTTTTTGTCTTCCTGTTTTCAGTTCGTGCACAATCAGACTCTCACTGTAGAGCTGATTGATACCCTACAAGATAGGGTAGACGCTGCTGTGCACGAAAGGAAGGTGGCTGAAGAGGAAGTTAAGCTTGCTAAGCTGAAGCAAGCAGCAGCTGAAGAGAAGCAGCAGGAGGTTGAGGAGTACGGTAAAAAAGCTGCCGAAGCTCTGAAAACCTTCTGCGATGCTATGGAGATGGAGGTTTTTCCCCCACTGATGGAAGGGGAAAAATTCCTCCAGGAGCATATGGGAGTGGACGTCTCCAAATTCAAGGCTGCTATTGAGAGCCGAATTCAAGAAGGAACTGCTGCACAAGCTGAAGTGCAGCAGCGTCTAGAGGCTCTTGAAGCCAGCCGAATGGCTGCTGAAGAGTTGCTCTTGGCCAAAGACGTCCAACTCTCAGAGGCTGCTGCTGCTGCTGAAGCTCAAAGAGCTAAATTCCAAGAGGCTGAGGATCAACTGCTGATCCAGAAAGTTGAAGTGGCCCAAGCTCAGACAAAGGCTTTCCAAATTCAGCAAGAGCTGAATGAGCTGAAGGGGTCCTCCTCCAAAGTCGCTGAACAGCTGAAGAAATCCAAGGAAGACTTGGAGGAGACCCAGAAGAAGCTGGCTGATGCTGAGGCTTTACTCAAAGTCCGTGTTTACACCCAAGAGGAATATGAGATGGGTTTCAGAAACGGATTCCGAGTATGCCGAAGACTCTGCCTTCATGCTGAGCCGAAGCTGGACTGGTCTAAATGTGCTGAGTGGGTCCAGAATCCCGAAGACCCTCACATGAAGTATGCAACTCCAGCTGAAGCTGAAATTCTTAAGGCTGAGGAAGCCGAAGAGGAAGCTGAAAGACTGGAGTTGGAAGCTGAGCAGAGGGAAAGGGAGGCTCGGCAAAATGCAAAGCCCGCCTCTTCTGCTGCTGGGGCTGAGGCCACCATGGGACTCAACGCTGATCAGTCTGATCCTCCGGCTGAAGCATAGGAACTCGGGCAGTCGTCTTCAGAATCTTGCGGTTCATCATGTGCTTAACTTTAGACTTGCCGCTTTCTGAGTTTTTTGCCTTGTTTTTTGCTTCAGCTTGCCTTGTCGTACAGCAGTTTTATTTTTTTGCTTATGTACGTATTTCGGCAGCTGTTATTTTCCGCTTGTGGGCGGCTGCCGATACTGAATTATTGAACTTGTAGCTCAAAAATTTTTTCTTCAGTTGCTTTATTTTTGAATGCTTTACTGTTTCTTTTCTTCAACTCTGCCGAACATAGCTGCACTGCGTGCTTCTTGCCCCCACAGAAATTGAAGTATGACTTTAGTTGAATAAGCAATTTCTGAACTTCTTCAAAATAGATATCCGAAACACAGGGCCAACTTAAGGCAATGCTTCTGGGATACAAGTCTTACTGAAGATTGACTGTCTGAAAGTTGGATATCCGAAACACAGGGCCAACTGAAGGCAATGCTTCTGGGATACAAGTCTTACTGAAGATTGTCTGAAAGTTGGATATCCGAAACACAG